CTGCATATTAATAACGAATTCATATGGCTGAGTATCACCTAATGCATTATGAAAGGCACTTTTGAAGGGATCAGCAAGAAAACTGGTTTCTGGGAAAATAAGCACCTGGCGATGTTGGATGACTATGAAAAGACAAATAAAACGTACCTTCATTAACGGGATGTTGTGTGACGCACAAAGAGCTTCTACAAGCTTGACGTACATAGGTTCGTCGCAGTTTTCAGCGAGAACGCACAAATGTGCCTGTCGCCTAAAACTTTTCGTTATTTCACACGATAAAACGAATGGCATATTATATCATATTCAAAAAATACATTACGACTCTAATATGTAGCATTCATTTATGACATAAGAAAAAGGTTATATCCATTTGCGCAACAATGCGAATAGTTAAAACAAGTGTGGTTAAGTTTAAGGGGCTAAGCAGTTTTCTGTTACAGACAGGTACAAGCTGGGGATATTTAGTCCGGCAACATTCTGTACAGGTTTTTACATGGACGAAACCATATGTTCATGCTTGATACTGTGTTAATGCATGGAACGAAACAAAGCAAACGCTTCGTAAATTCGAAGTACTCGGAGACACAACTAATCTAGCTTCAAACGTCTAAGCTTTCAAAATCTGTTAACTGCTTTATAGCAACCTGGAATTTTTACAAATAAAAGATGAGTTGGGAACATCCGAAACATTTGTACTTTACTTGGCATGTTGAAAAGATCTTAACTTTATAACAAACAAAGGGCAAAAATAAAGAGAGAAAATACACTTGAGAAAGATGAAAGCGTGACAAGTGAGATACGCTGCTAATGTGCAACTGATGGTGGTTTAGCTAAATCACTTAAACATCCCGCTCTGCATTACTGTTTTAATCAGAAAGGAGCATGACTCAACATTAGACGGATTTCATTCATTGCTATTTCTACCTTAGCAGAGTTGTAAACCACAACATTTTTATGCCAATCAATGTACTCTTGGCATTTTGAGGGATGGCATCATACTACACTGATAAAAGAGATTTCTCAACAACGGCAGACCTTCATTCAGCTACTTTCTGCAAACGATTTACTAGCACATCTCGTTTCGCATTACAATTTCATACCGACCGTCACTTGCAAATGACGTGCACGACAAAGCAGAGCTACTTTACAATAAAGAACTGACATGGCAGATGTTGAAGGAAGATTGTGATTCTTGGGAGCGGTTAAGGATCATTACAACGAACGAAAGAGAGATTCAAATTATCATGCCCCAGTGCATAAATTGTCCAAAAATTCGCTACATTTACCGTAAAGTGGTGAAACGCAGCAAGACCATTTTTGACAATCAGTTTGGCAAAAGTCCTGAAGCAAATCTCTTGGTGAAAAAAGAGTTAAGTATTCCAATTCTATAATGCTTTTAATGGTCAGATATAACAGAGAGCAAGTAGGCATCTGGGCTAGCGCCAATGTGCTTATAATATTAGTAACGCAAATTGGTAGATAGCCACTCGATCAGGAAGAAGCCTGCATTCAAAAATACTGCAAGGAAAAAATTCCTGCACAAGAGCTAAGTCACCATATAGGAATGTACAACTACCTTAGCGAATACAGGGCAACCATCGGCACTGACTCATTTATATGATATACAAAAAAAATTTACGTATAAATACCATTAACTAATGCTTTTAGAGAGCAAACTATTGCGCAGAAAATGCCAGAATTCACATACAGCCAAAGACAAATGATAATACTGGGTGCACCACCGGCGTCAGACAAATTAAACTTTATCTTTCACTAAAAAAATATCAGTCTGTTTTCTAATAACAAGGAATATTTAAATCCAAAATATCGATAATCGCTTGCATACCGGCGACTAAGGCGGGTAACAGATACAACATTCCACATTTGCGAATTTCACAAGAAAAACATCAATATGCATGAACTTACTTGTCTAATGCCTTGGCGGCTTCATGGATGCCTCTAGCTAAGCCATCGTTGATCAGGGACAACTTCAACACTTCTTGCAAAGCAGAATAAACGTCCATTGCTCCCGCTGCACTTGCGTTTGCGGGAACACCATCTCTGCAAACACATTTTCAAACCGAAAACGACAAATTTTAGCCTAACCTTTCCACATCAGACATTCTATCCGGATGCAGATGTCCTCCTGAATTAAACGCACATAAAACTTTTCAAAATATGATAACAATATCACTAACAATGATATTCCACTGCGTAAATCTTTCCACTGCTCTGCTGCTCAAACACACATCCACATCTCCAACTAACGGTATACGTTTGCAAGCAGGAACATTTTAATCTATAAAATATTTTACTGTAGTAAACGATAATAACGAATTCATATGCCTTCATTGGTTGCGAACACGTCAAGAAAGGATTTGGTACTCAGTCATTGTTAATGCAAATAAAAAAACTGAATTAAAAATCGAATTAAATAGTTTATAATTTAGATGCAAATTATATATAATATATAGAACAGACCTTGTCGATAAAATAATCGACTGGAAGCCTATGAGGGGAAAGGTGGTAATCCTCCGACTGAAGCTACAACGGCAAAATCGATGACCTTGGTACAGGTCTGCGCCCAAATTTGTAAGGAGAATATGAGACCCTCCTTGAGCAAGTGCAGTGTGCTCTGT